GAGAAAGTTGAATAGAAAGGAAAAACAATATGCGTGAGTGAAGTTCTTGGCGACAACAAACAAACAAAATCCAGCTTCTTGTGTGGAGCATCCGCCGCCATACTTCATCACAAGAGTCTTACGTTACTCGCCTCGCTCGCTGCTCACTAAACGTCCTCCGCGCTGGTGCCGCTGGCACCGTTGCCGTCAACGTCACCGTTATCGTTGCTGTCACCTTGAGGACTCGCCTCGGCAGTGGTCTCCGCCGCACTGCACTCCACAATCGGCTGCCCCAGCGTCAACTTCGCGAGCGTCACTTGCCACTCCGCTAACTTTGCAGAAATATGGCCCGTCCGCGCCCGCTCCGCCGCAATGTGGATGGGTCCCACAATGGTCATGTTGCACATGAGCAGAAAGCTGTGGTGCGGTGGGAGAGGTGGAAGCAATGACTCCTCCAACTTGCTGCGGCTGAGTTGGAGTAGCAGCTCCGGGCTCACCTCCACCACAAACGAAGAAGGTAGAAGAGACTTAAGCGAGCCTACACCCTCCGCACAGAAACGAAGCTTGTCGTTACTGTACTTTGCATAGGACTCAAACACCTTGGACCCTGCATGCACAACGCGTGAGCCTAGTTTCGGAAGTAGTGCGCAGACTGCCTTGTTTACGAAGTACACCTTCTGCTCCCGCGCCGTCTCATTTCGAACGAAGAGCTGATCCATAGGGAACTCCTGCGGGAGACTCAACGCACCACGTACCTCCGTCTGTAAAGCCGGTGAGAGCGGCTTAAACGTCTCACCCTTCGGGTAGGATGCTGGAGCAGCAGTAGCTGCAGGGTATTCCTCGAGGCACTCCATCACTGCAACAAAGAATCCCCCTGTGTCCTGGTGGTGTGGCAAGATGCGGCGAGTGTGGCGTATTTCCTGCTGCTTAAGGCGCTCACTGTTTGGAAACATAGAAGAGTGGTAGCGGAATCCACGTCCATTTTGCGCCTCGGTGTACGCTTGCGCCTCTTCGATGGTCTGCAGCCGCGTTGTGAGATCTTTAGTTAAGAGCGACCAATCAATCTGGCCCGGCGCTGCCACGAGGCCTGGGACGAACGGTGTTGGATCAATGAGCCGAAATGCGCCCTTTGCCTGGGCGAGACACTCAGATACGACAGCCTCGTCTTCCACAGGATTCAAGCTGCAGGTAGAGTATACGACGACACCACCCTGCTTGCACAGCATCATTCCCCGTGTCAGTACACGCACCTGCGACAAGTGCAGATCAGCACCCTGCAGTGTGTTCCAGCGTGGCCACATGTCCATAGACTTCCTTAAGGTGCCATCGCCAGAGCACATCACGTCACACAGCACACGGTCGAACTTGTCCTCCTGTGGCAGGAGTGGGAACTGTGTCGCGTCGTGGTTTGTCACGATCAAGTGTGGATGAGCACCAGCCGAACGGTTTGTCTGGTGCAGAAGCACATCAAGTCGAGACATATTGACATCATTCGCCACCACCACACCATCCTCCATGGAAGGGATCAGCGCCTCCAATATCTGTGACGTTTTGCTCCCAGGGGCGGCACACATGTCGAGTACGCGATGACCCGGACGCACCTGCAGCAGCACCGCTGGTATCATACTCACTGTCTCCTGGCGTGTAAGGTAGCCGCCTTCATTCAATGCGGCGATCCTCTTCTTGAGGTCCTTCAGCTCGGTGCTGCGCTTGAGGTCACCACGAGACACAGCGCATTGCAACGCTGTGCCGCCCGGTACAAAAGGAATGCGCGCTGTCGGTAGCACGCCATTCAAGCGGGCCTGCAGGTGCTCCACAATCGTGTCAGCATGTGGCGCAGACGGGTGAACACGGAGGGCCATCGGCAACGCACGCCGTAGCGCATCTATGAATGTTTCCCATTCTGCTGCATTCACCACGTTGTTCTTGTAGTATTGGTCAAATGCGGCGTTTGACAGCGTGTTTGCGTCACGCGCATCTGCCGCCCACGTGTCGTCGTGGCGACCACGCTTGCGGCCGCCCCCCTTCCGGTTTTGATTACGACTCATGCGATCACCGCTCCTCGTGAAGAATATCTCAACCACACCTGCGACTACATGGGAATATTATCATATAAAAAAAAAAACAAGATGAACAGAAAGAGAGAAAAAGGCCGCCAGGCGATCGCCGAAAAAGATTACGGCGGCACCAAGGTAACCACCACGTTAACGCTCTTTTTTTTTTTTTTTACTTCTGTGTGGGCACGTACTCACGCAGACGCAGAGCGGAATACCCGTACTTGTTGCTCCTTATTACGAAAGTTTTGCGGTGGCATGATCCCTCATTAACGCCCGGTGCCCTTTCTCATGCGCTCTTAAAGCACCAATGCGTCAATCACGGCTACTTACTCCATATCGAACATCGTGTCGCATCCGTTACCACCCGATGGATTCTTTGCCTTTTCTTCTTTCGTCGCCACAGGAAGAGGCTGACGTGGGCCACTGTTGGCGGTGTTGTTGCTACCAAGGGCCCCTGCAATGTTGTGCCCGTCCTTACTCAGCATATAAGAAACTGTTGGTGTTGTTGAAAATTCCTTCAATGAGATACTCTTCTTCATATCACCGTGACAATCTATAACTACTATTACAATTACAACTATCACCACCATAACAAGCAATGGTAAGTAAGAGAAGGAAAGTGCAAACAAAAAAGACAGTAAGGATGGGGGTGGGGAGCATCTCGCGCACAAAAGGCATACTTACACAATGGCGTATATACGCATGCGCACCCACAGCCGCACACACACACACACAAAACGCAAAGAGGCAGAGACAGACAAACAAACTCACACCTTCACGCGCCGCTAATCCTCGGCGTACAACACGTGGCCCTCGATGAGCACGACACGCGGAGGGCGACTCGGCTCCGCCTCCGGTACATCCTCCACCTCACGATCCGCGGTGGGATGCTCTTCGACGCAGTACGCACGTGTTGTGGCATCCCACACAACGCAGTCATTTGGACCAAGCCGGCCTCCCTTCTCAGTGTGCTGTCGCATGGCCTCTATGATATCCTCATCGACACGCAGGCTGTGCAACGTGGTAGCGCGTCCACACACTGGGCACGCCGTACAGGGCGCAATCTCACTGCTGCTGCTGGTGCTGCTGCCACAGCCGCCCCACTTATGACTTGCCACCTCTTCAACCGACTCCTCACGACGGGCGAGAGCCTGTTGTGTGGCGCGCACGAACGACTCCAGGTCGAACACCTCCTGATGCTGACATGCCGCGCCACGCACGGGGATGACGACGGCGCCAAGTGTGATGGGGTCGCGCAGCGGGAGGCGCCACCGCACCGCCACCGGTCCACCACTCTCTGTACCAGCGTCACTGCCATCGCGCTGCCGCTTCCCCAACGCACGGGACGCGCTCGGCTGCGTGGAGCGGCGCTCGGCGGCCGACAGCTCCCGGACGAGTGCAGCGATTCTCTCGACGTCCCAGCGGGTAGGGGGGACGGACTTTGTGAGGTCGTCGATACGCTGGCGGAAGGTGGCGCGTCTCGTCGTACGCAGTGTTTCGATCTCTCCCACGGCGTACGCAAACAGCGTTGCCTCTTGCGTGGGTGACGCAACGCTATCCAGTGCCGCGCGGAGTGGAGCCAAGTATTCAGCGCTGTCGTGCACCACGGAGACATCCAATACGGCCAGCCGCCGGCAGAATGCTCCACACAGCATGGAGCACTGGCATAGCCCATGCGTTGACGGAATGCGGTGCGCGGACACATCCCTGAGGCACTTGAGGAGACGGCTGTGCGCACTCGTCACCGCACTGGTGGAGTCCATGGAGCGTATCTCGTGCAACAGCTCTTGGCCCAGCATCGCCAGACTCTGCAGTACAAAAGCGGATACGTTGAGGGCTAGGCAGCAGGGAGGGGGAGGGGGGAAGAAGATTGATGCAAAATGAATGGGCAACAATAGCAGCAGATTCAGGTAGGTTCATCAATAAATTCTTTTTTATCTGCACACCACACCTCCTCTGGTTTTTTTTTCTTTCTTTTTTTCTCTCTCACCCCGCTTTAACTCTCCCCATCCCATCGCCTCACACCCCACCACCAGCAAAGGGAGAGAGGATCTGCTTCAACTGCGCATCAAACCGCATGGTCGGCAGAGACAGCTCAAACTTGGCCAAGACAGCCCTTGCCAAATTTGCCTCTTCGCTCGCCGAAAAACTTCGGCATCGCTTTTCACGTCCACCCGCTAGCTTGCCCGGAAAGTCACGGAAGCGCGGAGAGTGCCGCAGCCGCCCGACTTCTTGACTGACGGCCGGCGCCGCTGGCACCAGCGACTCGCTCCCTGTCAGAGCAACCGCTTTTGATGATGCCAAAAGCGATGGTTGGGATTCATACGAGGCCACAGGAACAGCAGAAGCAACACCAACAGCGACTGCTACGTCATCGTTCTGTGGAGTTCCAACGGCGGAGGCGGAAACGGTGACGGCATCCGGGTAGTGTTTGGGGCTCTGGCACGCGCTGGTTGTGGACGAGGCTCCACCGCTCCCGGAACTGGGCGTGGCACCGCTTTCTTCCCGTCTCTTGCCTTTCATTTCTGTCATCTCCTCTTCCTCCTCCTCCTCCTCCTCATCTTCTTCCACTTCCTCTTCCTCTTCGACACCAGTCTCCTCCCCCTCTTCCTCTTCCTCTTCAAACTGGATACCTTCCTCCTCATCCCCCTCCTCCAGTTCCTCCTCCTCTTCTGCCTCAGTCTCCTCCTCTTCTGCCTCAGTCTCCTCCTCCTCCTCTGCCTCCCTCATCTCCCCTTCCGCCCTCTCGATCAGAGCGTCGTCATCGTCCACAACGAACTCGTTGTCATCGTTGAAGCTCATGCTGCGTCTCCTTTTATGTGCATGCACGCACTCACAAACAGATGCTGAAGACAAAAATCAAAGAAGAACTTAGAGAAGTGCATCTAAAAAGATTACAGCTATACATCTTTATTCGTGATTTTAACACACGCCATACCGTCAATGCTGCACCCTACGAGCGACAAAGCAAGAAAAAGAAAAAAGAAAAAAAAAAGAGAAAAAAAAAAACCAAAGAGGAGCACACAAACGATGAACCGTGGGGCTCACCAGAATCCAACCATACTATCCAGACGTGGCATAGCCGTGTGGAACCTTTCTTTTGAGATATCATTCATCACAGGAAATGACGCTTTCTTGATCGCTTTTGTTCATTTCTTTTTGTGGAAACAGCGCACCGGCAGAGAAGGCCATCACATCTAAGGGATAGAAAAGACAGATCACCTCTTTGTTTTACTACTTTTGCAAATTGGCGCCCGCACCGCATGGAATAAAGGCAGAATATGGAAAAACATATCATTCTCCCGAGCACCTCTTAGAAAAATACTACATAGCAAGGGGCAAGGACGAGAAAAAAGCGCANTAAACTGAAGAGGCTTTCTTCTCACTGCCGCTCACTCTTTTTGTTGTTGTTGTTCTCGTTCAGCGTCCTCCTACATTTCAACAATTTCGTCTTCGCTGGTTTATCTTCTTTATATACTCTTCGGTTTTGCTTGTGTTGTAGGTTTGCTTTGTTCTTTCATTTCATTAACCATTTATATTGCGGCTCATTCCAGATTGATGGTGGGTGTATAAAATCAGAGCTTAGAGAGTGATTGGATCAGGCGCTCCCGGGTCAAGCCGATGGCCTCAAGTTCACGGCGAATCTCAGTCCGCTTGCAGACACGCACGTCGTCATGAAGGCCAACCGTAATTTCGCGCACCTGACGCCACAATTGGGCACGCAGGTCAATGACGCGGCGAACAGAAGCTGCCACCTTGATTGGTACGAGGATGTAGTTGTTATAGCGCATGGCGATGATGCAGTTGGTGGCACCAGCCATCGCTTCGTGTATGGCAAGGGTAGCAAGCATGGAACAGAAGAGAGCATCATTTGCGGAGGGTGGGCACGCGCGGATCATGTAAGAGGGATCAATGTACTTCACTGTGCCGTGTGGGTAACGGTCGCGGTTCGCCTTCAACCACTTCTGGATTCTCTGTGAAAGGATGACACCAATATCCACGAGCTTCTTGTTGCCCGAGGGGTCGTACCCACCCTTGCCTTGCACCCAGTCCTGGCCAAAGCCCTCAGCCACAATGATGACGCAGTTGCGGGAAGTCTCAAAGCGGCGCTCGATGAGCTTCAGCACCGTTTCTTCAGAAATGGGGTTTTCAGGGATAAGGCAGATGTTGGCCTGGGCACTCGCCACAGCCGCCTGTGCCGCAATGAAGCCACTGTCGCGACCCATAAGCTTTACGACTCCAACACCATGGTTGAGCGAGACAGCCTCAGCATACGCAGCGCGGACTGCCTGCACCGCCTTTTCTACGGCAGTTTGGAAACCAAAGGTGCGATGCGAGAAGCTGAGGTCGTTGTCGATGGTCTTGGGAACACCAAAGACAGCAATGTCAGCATTACGGCGCTTGGCTTCCTCAGAAATCTTGAGGGCGCCACGCTGCGTGCCGTCACCGCCCACCGTAAAGAGGATGTTTATACCGAGGCGCTGCAGCGTCTCAACCATCTCCTTCGGGTCCTGCGGGCCACGGCTGCTGCCGAGGATCGTGCCACCGTGACGGTGAATACCGGTGACGGAGCTGCGGTAGAGCTCCACCGCAGTGTGGCTTCCCTTCTTGGACAGGCCCCAGTAGCCGAAGCGGAAACCGATAACGCGCTTCACACGGTAGATGCTGATAGCCGTCAGCGTCAGGGAGCGAATCACATCATTCAAACCAGGGCAGATACCACCGCAGGTGACAATGCCCACAACCGCCTCACCCGGATCAAAGTGGAGACGCTGGCGGGGTGCAGCAAGCTCGCAGCGGAGCGTGCTCACGGAGACGGGGTAGTCAGACTGGCAATCCTCCTGTGGGCGGGGGTCGTACATGATGTGCTCGATGTGGTCGGAGAACTCCGAACGCATCACATGCTTCTTGCTGGGGTTGATGTACTTGCGGCCGGGAAGGCGCTCCACCTTGAGGTCCTCCTGGGTAACCGTACTCAGCGAGGGTTCACGAGAGAGAACCAGCTTGCTCGAGGCGCGAATACGAGATTCCATTTCTTTGTTTAGTATAGCAAATATTCTTGTTCGATTTGTAGGTGATCCTGAGTCATAAAATAAGAAAGTGGAAAGCAAAAAAAAAAAAGATATCCGCATCGCATTTCAGAGATGACTTCATCCGTTTCAAAGCCACGCAAGTGTTATTTATGGCAAATCCATAAAGAGGGAAGGAATTTTTATTGTCGAATTCACTTTGACTATTTCCAATTTTTCTGTTCGTCCATTTTCGCTCTCACTCTTTTTCCTCTCGCTCTCTTTCTCCTGCTCTCTCTCCTTCGGATTCTCTTTTTTTTTTATCTTGCCTTCCGGTTCCTTCTTGGAGGCTATATCACACTATACCCTCTTCGCCTGGCACGCCAGGTTCCGTCATGGACGTGGGAGAGCTTGCAGTGTGGCAAGCGGAGGCAAAGAACAAAGCACAAGATGTGATATTGACTTTTTTTTGTCGTCCCTTCCGAATTCCTTTTTTTTTTTGTTTTCTTCCTCGTCTTTCGCTGCACTAACCCTCCTGGCCAAACTCCTCGGTGAACTTGATGTGTTGCACAACGTCGGTCTCAGAGACGGACGGGCGAGCGGTGCGCAGGGCCTTGACGAAGTCCTGCATCGTCACAGGCAGCGACATAAGTAGCTCCGGGTGCTCAAGCTCCTGCGCCGTCATCGGGAAGCCTGCTGGGTCACCCGGCGAGCACGGCACGAGGCGGTCGTCCACCATTCGTGTTGGGTCAAGAAGGTCCGGACCCCTCACACGCTTAAAGTGTGTAGCCACCTGCACGGTCCTAACAGACTCCATCATCGCATTGCGCACAACAATGTTGATATCACTGCCGCTGTACCCTTCTGTCATCTTCCCCAATTCGTACCAATCATTTTCGCACAGATTGTTCGGTGTGTCTCCAAGGTGAATTTTGAACATCTGACACCGCGCCTGAACTTCAGGTAGTGGAATATATATACGGCGCTCAAAACGGCGTCGCACCGCACTGTCAAGGTCCCACGGGGTGTTCGTGGCGCCTAACACGAGCACACCTTCGTCTTCGTGGCCCACGCCTTGCATCTGCACCAGAAACTCCGTCTTGACGCGGCGTGTAGAATCGTTTTCACCGTCCGACCGCGAGGAACAGAGGGAGTCGATTTCATCAATAAATATAATAGCAGGTTTCCCTTCCTCGCGATACGCCTCGCGAGCCATTTCGAAAACGTTTCGCACAAGCTTCTCGGACTCACCCAACCATCGCGATAACAAGTCGGCACTGCTGACGCTGAGAAATGTGCCGTCACCCTCCGTCGCAACAGCCTTGGCGAGGTATGACTTGCCGGTACCAGGCGGGCCGTACATGAGAATACCCTTCCACGGCTTGCGGTTGCCAGTGAAAAGCTGCGGAAAGCGGAGAGGGAGAATCACTGCCTCTTTGAGCGCCTCCTTCGCCCCCTCCAGACCGGCGATCTGCGACCAGCTCACGTTGGGCTTCATGCGCACAATGGCACCCGAGAGGCCCTTGCGCAAGCGCTGTTTGTCCTTACTATCGTCATCATCATCACCCTTGTTCAAGGCTGACTTTTGCGAAGTGGCACCCGCACCATTAGCATTGTCCAGATACTCCTTGATCTTCTCTGCGCGCTCCATGATTTCGCGCACTTTGTTCTTCAGCAACGTCTTTTTAGCAGGGTTCTTCCTCTCGTACTTTATGGCCGTCATGAAGACCTCAATGGACTCCATGTACCAGTGGTACGCATCTTCGTACTCCTTCTTTTCATCAAATGCGGCACCCCGCTTAAACAATTCAATCGCCTTTTCAGTGAAGTCTACAGACATTAAGATTCTGGGGGCCTATCGTTTGTTTGTTTGCTTGTTTGTTTTTTTCGGTTTTGAACCGGTTGAGAAAGTAGCCAGGTCTTTTCCTGTTCTCAATGTAGGTAAATATCTATCCAGCAATCAAAGGCACACCAATCGTTTTCCCTTTCGCACTTCCACTGGAAACACCTCAACTGGAAACAAAGGGATATATTTTTCTCCTGCACCGCTGCAGTCCCTCACCCGCCCTTTCTGATAGTACTGCCCTCCCTTGCGTAACGTATGGCACTGCTGTATGCGGAAGGGGTGGTCGGGTTTTGCACGACTTTGCTTGAACACGGTAGAGTACGAGACAGAAGAAGGGGGAAGATGGGGGATGGAAAATAACAGAAAAGCGGGAACAAGGAAGGGAAACAAGAGTGCTGGTCTGTACAACAGCAAGGATATCACCTTTCGTAGCTCACTGAGAAAGAGTCCAACATCGGCCTTCTTCGTGTTTTTTTTCTTGGTGTGTTTTGACCAGCGCCTGTGTGCGCGGACGCGCCCACGCGTACGCGTATCTCCACGAGTAGTAAGCAAAGAAGGCGTAATTAGGAGCAAACGAAAAAGAGAGAAGAAAGCAATGCAAAGCAAAGCAAGTCAGCCACCTTGCTCGAGGAGGCGCCGCTCCATTATTTTGCTGAGCTGTACCCTAACCTCCATTGCCTTTGGGCGCTCCGCCGGCTTGTGCCGCAACATATTGATAATGAGCATAATCAGTTCATCTGAGTAATTCCGCGTGTGTCGTTGAATATCCCTTCGAATTGCCAGAGCGAGTGAATTCCTCGTCCAGTCGGAGTCGTTCAGTACCGTTGTGGTGCCACTGTCGTTCTGAAGCACTGCGAACTCGGGAAGTGTGGCTAACACAAATGCAACCACGCCTAAACTGAAAACATCAGATTTCACAGAGCCTGCAGAGTGAGCCAGCTCTGGTGCTCGATACTCAAACGTCGGCGACGCCTCTTGCTGTTCCTGTAGTACTCTTGCGGATGCGCTCGGCTGCGCGTCATACGAGCGACAAAGGTCTAGGTCCATAAGAAGTACCTGCTCTCGGTTGAGCAGCAGTATATTATCGGGCTTGATATCCCGGTGCACAAGCGGTGGGTTCAGTGTGTGAAGGTAATCCAGGGCGGATGCTATTTGGAGAATGATGGAGCATAGTTTGTGCTCCCCAATTGGGCCACGCTGGCGCTTGATAAATCTGAACAAATCTCCTTCAGAGTAGTACGGCATAATAACAGCAATCTTCAGTGGATTCTCCGATCCAATAACATCCAAGTACTTTATAAGATGTTTATGTGAAAGTTTTCGCATATTTTCAGCCTGATGCAATCGTGCCAGGAAAAGCGTCCTATCATTATCGGTAAATGTCATTTCTTTGGAAACCACTATCTCTCCATCGTACGTGACACATTTGAATACAAGTCCTTGGCCTCCTTGACCCAGCAACTCGCGACTGCGCAAGTGGTGGTACTTTGAGAATGCTGGCAGCGGCGTTGGTTGGGCAAGAATACGCAATGCTCTAACCTCGTCATCTAACATCGTCCGAGTTGGTCTGTCGTTCAAAAGGCGCACAGGCGTTGGACAGCAAGTCCGACACTTTAGCACACCACATTCAAAGGAAGCAGACAGACAATTTCCGCACAACGGGTCTGCGCAGACTTCACAGTAGTAGGTTGTCCCCTTGTCAGTTATTATTTCTGTACAGCGACCACACGCAGCCATTATAGGGGATAGCTTTGAACAGCCTCTGCAAACAATGGTGATGGGCCGATTCGAGTATTTACAGAGCACACAGACGCTACACACTGCTTCCCGGCATATTATACACCTTTGCAGTTTCTCCTCTGCATTCCTACACAGGGCACACATTACCGCTGGAAGCTTACGTTTCGTCGCACATTCAGCGCACTGCCCAGCACAGCTAACACAGCGACGACATAGCCAGCGGGTGCAACTCAAGCAAAGGGCCATCATAGCATCTTCTGACCCGCAACCTTCACACTTCTGAAGGTGGTTCATCCCCTTCATCCCGCTACAGAGCCTGGGATGGAACGGAACCACTCGGTAGTGGGTAAGCCAGACTCCCACTTTCCTTTATTGATATATATATATATATATATATGAGACATAGATAACAAAACAAAGAGAGAACATGCCTTCTACACGTAAAGAACGCACGAGAATGTCACAATCAACGTCAGTATTATCCACAAAATCGAAATGTCAGCGGACTCACCAGGCACCAAAAAAAAATGAATGAGGGAAATAGAAAATGAGATGCAGAAGTATTCAGAAAAAAACGTACATATAACAATGGCTACCACTTACTCAGAACGCTAGAAAAGTGTCCGTGAACCTGAAGATGTATCCCCTCGCCTTATCGACTTGGCCTTCAATGTGATAAAGGGGTGAAAGGTTAGCGATGGGTCGAATGGACGCTGAGGTGATTCCTTCCGCTCAGTGAGGCGTCGAACAACGTTTTTTCTCACTTCGCCATCATTGTCAAAAGCACGATGTCCCCGCTCCGTAATGGAGGGACGAAAGGAGGGTGGGAGTCCATAACGCTCCTGTAGACGTTGGTGTTCTTCTCTCTCCTCCTTTGAGGGGTAAAGTCGTTCATAAACCGGCCCATGGCGTTCCATAGACATAGCTCGTGGTGAAATCTCTGGATGGAAAGAATACGGATGTGTGTCAGGTGGAGGTGGAGCGCGCTCCAACAGGCGCGGCGACAATTGAGTCACACGACGCGGAGATCGGCGTGGTGATACAGGTGGTGACACGCCCCTTGCATGACGTTGCTCCAACTCTGCCTTCTCTGGGTACAGTCGCTCGTAGAATGGACGAGGATTCTCAATCGACATAGCTCTTGGTGAAATTTCTGGACGGAAAGAGTATGGAACCACATTGGCTGGTGGGCTCGGGCGCTCCAGAAGGCGCGGCGACACGTGGCTTGCGCGGCACGGTGATCGGCGCGGTGTTGTTGTCGGTGATTGTACATCATGTTCAGTATGCCGGCGCCGCTCCAGTTCCTCCTTTGTTGGATACAATCGCTCGTAGAATGGCCCGTTTGTCTCAATTGCCTTCGCCCTCGGGGAGATATCGGGGTGAAACAGCGGGGGATACGCGCCATCAATCAGCTCCATCATCCGCGGCGACAGCTGTGGCGACTGCCCGTTCAAAGGGCCCCCCCATTCCTCTACTTGTGGTGACACTGCTCTCGGCGTGTAGAGGCGTTCATGGTAGGGGATGTTCGATCGTTGCGTCTCCCGTGCGTACTTGGAGATCTCGGGCTTGAATGTCGGCAGCGGCTCCTCCATTATTACTGCGCGGTGGTACGGCACATGCGGGGTCGCAGCTCGAGCCGAGTTGTAATGCTGCGCTCGTGTCCCACCCGCTGGTGTGTGTCGCCGCCGTGGCAGCCGTCCATGTTCTGGAGTGCCAGTCTGTGGGTGAAACGTGTACTCCCCCAGCGACCGCTCAATCTCGTTGTGGTCCCGCCTCTTCTTCTCCTCCATGTCATGGAGTAGGCGGCGCTGAAATGGAGGTATCGCCGACACCCGGTTCTTCCGCGGCGTCCGTCGTCGACCGTGAGGGTCCACGTATGAGTTGGAAGTCGTTCGATTCCGCCGCGAGCGCCTTGCGTCTTCCGTCGGTAGAGAAATACAAGTCTGAAACAAGGACGAGTCAGTGTAAACCATCTCATGGCCTGGTTCCCCTTCACCCATCTCGGCATGCGGATCACCAGCAATCCTTCGAAGGCTGTCGACGGTAAGCTCGGAGAAGTGTGGTAGGCCTTTATTTGCTTCGTTCTTCCCATTAATCATATGCGTGACATCAGCGCTCATCGACTTACGATCGCGTTCAATCTGCTGAGAACTTCTCTTGCTCACACTTTCTGTGTGTTGCAGAGTACTGGCTGTGGGCACTTCGCACACCTGAACTTCTTGGGCCTCTATAACACCAGAGGCGACGGAGTTGCTCACATTACTCTTTAAACTCTTCTGCTGGCTCCTGTTTTTGTTGTTACGGTCTACGCTCTGGTCAGCCTGTGCCTTCAACAGTGAGTTTTCATTGTTTTTTTGATTTATGGAGTCCATTTCAGGTGTTTTCGCCACCGCCGCCGAATTGCGATGCCCGTGCTTTTCAGTGCAATTGCTGCCTTCGCCTTCCGACCTGATTGTATTGGCAGCAAGCTCCTTATTGACCGTATCTCCCTGGGCTACAAGTTGTTCGGACACAATGGAGTTGTCCACATCACTCTTGGCACTCTTCCTATGGCCTCTCTCCCTTCGTGGGAGTCCCCCGCTCTGACTGGCCCGCAGTACACTTGACGAGTCAGCTACACTCTGATTATTCATTGAAGCCACTTCTGGCATATTTATCGCCTGAAGGTCCCGTTTTCTCTCTTCCCCTGTCAAGTGAACCTTTTCGTCTTGTTTTACAGAATTTTCGACTCGTTTATCATCCACCGGAACATCTTGAGTCGCCACATTGCCCGATACAATGGAGTTGCCCGCATCACTCTTTACATTCTTCCGATGGTGCTTGTCCCTCCTGGAAAGGCTTCCACTCGCACCTGCCTGCGCGTTGCTCACAATATCAACATCGTTTTTGCTGTTCAGGGAAACCACTTCGGGCATATTTACCATCTGAAGGCCCTGTTGTCCATCCTCTTCGGTCAGACAGCTCTTTTCATCTTCCTGCCGTACAGAATTAATGACTGGTTCATTGTTTGCGGGAACCTCTTGCGCTGCTGTTTCGATCGGAATGGTGGAGTGACTTGCATCACTCTTCTTCCTGGAGCCCTTCCTTTGATGCCTCCTGTGCTTCTGGTCAAGCTCTGCACTCTCACTGGGCTCTGTATTGCTTAGCAACTTGGCCGCATCTTCGTCCTTGAGAAGGGCCCCATCGTTTTCGTTTAGCTGTGGTGACTCACCCACTTGGTGCTCCTCAACAAGCAGTCTGCTGTCGTGGTCAGTGACAGCAGACTCCTCAATTGCAGGTACCACCTCTTCCGTAGTGTATACATTCTTTTTCATGCTTTGATTTTGATTGGATGCCGTTCCAATTGGAACCGCTGTTTTTGAAGGCAATGAGTCGGGCCGTCGTAAATCGGACCGTGCCAGGATCTTTTTGGGTGGACAATGCTCCACAGCCACAAACAGCGGCAACCCTCGCTTGGATGGATCGTATCCATACGTGTCCTCCCAGTACTTTTTTGATATGATGCCCTTCGTTTCCTTCGTGGTTGGATTAGTAGCGGTACGAGTAGGCGGTGGTTGCGTTTCGTGGACAGGTGCACCCCTATTTCCTCTGCTCTCATCCTTTGAAGCACCAGCCTGGGTCCTTCCTGATGTGGGAGTAACTTGCTTTTCGCATCTTACTTGAACCTCACGCTCATTTTCCGTTGATTTGTTGCTCTGCAACCGAATCTCTTCCACTGTCCCCGTCTCCTTTGAGCTTCCCAGTAAAGGAGCCGGTGTTGAAGACTCGTCGGCCACGCCAGACGGTCGAATGGGCGCAACTACCAATGTCGACGTCTCTCTGTGAGGTTTAACCTTCTCTGTTTCAGTAGTACTGGTGCTCTGCTTCTTCGAGGCCCCCTTTTTTTCAGGGAAACGTACCGCGGATGAATTACCAGACGCGATGAGAGAGGCGCCCTCAGACCTTGGCGCCGTTGCCCGCAACTGGCTAACAGATTGTCCTTCAGGCAAGGCCGTTCCTGCCGGCATGTTGACAGGTTGCCTCTCACTTGGTGTTGCCTGTAACTGGCTGGCAGATTTCTCCTTAGTTGACGTTACAGCTTGCTGTGTGTCCGGCTTGTTACTGATACCACCTACAGGCGTCATGGGGCCCTTCTCCTTTACTGCATCCATAGTGCCAGGAAGGGGCCCGCCACTCGGTTGCCTGAATCTCTGTGGAATGTCGGAGTCGGAGTCACTGTCATAGACGCGCAAGTGAGAAAATCGGTCAGCCAGCATCGTGTAGAATCCTTTCCGTTCTGATTGCGCCTAGATGAATGTTCTGATAGTGTATCCTCTTGGGCTAGGTTTTGCTGTGTGATGTAGCACAAAAACAAAAGGAGGAAGAACCAAAGCACGCAGATACTGACGCTCCTCTACGTCATGCAAACTCTGCAGAAAGAGGGACATAGGAGGAACAAATGGTGATGACGCACCAAAGTAAGATTTATAAAATAAATAAAAAAGATGAGCTTTTCTTCGCCTTACTTCTTCTCGTTCTCCTTCGCCTCCTTGCGCTCCACGCGCGCCTTACGGGCACCGAAGAAGCGGACAGCGCTGTGGTTCTTCTTGAGGAACTTGTACACGTTCTTCGTGCGCTCCTCCTC